TTTCCATGATATGCGCATCTTTCGCGCCTTAAGGTAACCCTCGTGCTATTGATAGAAGAAACCAGACAAGTAGTGAATAGGTCTTTATTTCGATCTTCGCGCAGTCACAGTGGAGCATGGGATTATCTGTTCAGACAAACAAAGGCTCTCAGTATTCAATATAAGATAATAGGGAATATAACGCTTATACAAAATAAGGAAGTGAATGAATACTTGGACAATACTGTTTTGGCATATGCTTGGTTGTTTGGGGTCAACTCCTAACCAACCAACCTAAGCTGTTACACATCTATATATTTCTGCATAGTTGAAGATTTCAGTGGAACTTATCTCAAATTCGTCAACTCTAAAATGAAAGAGAATGTAAATCAACGTTGTCTCTCTAAAATTATTGTCCAGAAGCCTTGAAAAGTTGGGATTAGAGCTCTGTTAAAAGAACTACCACAACAGGTAACTTCTGTGTTAACTGAGAACACAACTTATGAACCGACGTAAGGGACAGCTGCTGTTGTTCGCACCCTTGGTTGAATGTTGGTTGTTTGAAAGCAATTGAATCATCTTAGGAAAACCAATATTTTACATTATCCCTTCATCGTTTGTACTTTGTTTATGACAACCACGGAAATGTCAAATGACCTGTTGCTTTACGTCCCTTTACTCTCTCAGCATTTCAGGATTCAACCATATGCAGAGGACTAGTTAGTCGTGTGTATTAGAAAATGGAGAGACCTGCAACTTATGTGGAAATTGTGAGTAATTTCAAATTCACCGGTTACCAATTTCCTCGAACCACTTGTTCCAAACTAAAATTAAAAAAATAAAAGTATCTTCATGCACTGGGTTTTAATAATACAAAGTTAATATTGTTTCAGTTTTACCGTAACGTCTGTCTATTATGAGGAGAGTAAACATGTCATGAAGATTAACATCATCGAAACTTTCATCAAAGTTAAAAGTTTCCTACTTTATTTTGCTTATTTTGATTACTGAGGCACTTTCTGTAAAGTTTAAGGTCAAAAAATGTCTGAATGAGTTATATGGGTCTGTAGTAATTCTAGTGGGTGTTTTAGTTTCCTAGTGTGCAGGTATAGTTTGGTATGCGGCTCGATCCCTCACTGAGGTGAATAACCTTCAGATTGACTGGTTTCACAGTTGATGATTGGTGTGTAAATGGTCTCACAATAGGATAGTAATTCACTACGGATCTACTGTTGAAACTCACCTATCTACTGAATTTTCGTAAGTACTTGATGGTGGTCGGTTCCGGATGATCTGGAATAGCCTTCATCTTAAGTTTCGAAGCCCAGGTACCTTGGGCACCGGTCTACGGCCGATAGAATGCAGGGTGTTTGTTCCAACCGGGCATTTCAATGTGTTTATAGTAATTCCATGTTGTTATAGTCGACAGACAATAAGATTTAGGTGCTGAAGATGTGATTTTCTGACTGGCTCTGTAAAAAAGTGATCATCGATGCACGAATGCACAATTAATTCGCTCCTAGGACTACAGGTGATGTTGATATCGCGATGTGATGTGTGACACCGCTGGTGGTACAAAGTCATCTTGATTATGATTTGTAGATCTCTGGAAACTTATCAAATATACGTCGGAATTATGGATAAATTGTACCTTTGACCCGAACTAGGCACAGCCTGTTTCACGGAAGGCAGCTTACTATTTAAATCGACAAATGCTAGTTTATTTGGGTCGACGGATTTGTTATGATGTTGTATCGGATCTGTGCCATTGATAATGATTGAGGCAACGGTAACAGCAAAAATTTGATGAACGGATTCACAAAACCTTTTATCGCATGCGGCAATCGGTACTTCCGAAACGTACTTGAATTATAAAGAGATGTGTTCTGCAGTGTGCAGAAATGTGCTGCAGTACTGGTACTTCTCAGTACTCCCTCAGTTACTGTTTTTTCCACTAAGTTCTAAAACAGTCAGCATCAGCGTTGAAGACTTACGAGACTATAAGCTTTGAATATTTATTAGCCGCTAAAATGCTATCTTATCAATCAGAGTGACATTTAATCCATCTAATCAAAAGACAATACTTATTGGTCAAGTAACATACTGAATACAGAGCAATAATGCAAATTGTAAGATGTCTTAGCAGTTTGAGTTTTAGTCTATCCACTGCCGTATGGAGGGAGCTCAGCATCTCCAGCATACCCTCCTTTTTAAAGTTCACAATGAGTAGCCGGTTCACCGACACTGTTTCTTTAGCTAGTCCTATGTTGTGAGCAAGTTCTCAGGTAAGCGCCACCTCGGGATAATTCTCTATAACCTATGCTATGATTGATAGCGACGGTGAAACATTTATACGTTTGTCTCAGTAAATGTCGGATATCCTATTGCAGTGAAGTCGTCTCTGCAGCCAGTTCTGTATTAAAGGGGGGCTCATGAGTGAAGTCATTTTCGCGGAACACACGTATATTGGAGGTGAAAACTCAGCTGAAGCTCGGTTCTTCAACCTCATTGAGGATCTTGGATTATACGAAAATTTAAAGTCAGCAACTCGTTTGAGCAACAGTCAGATACCGTCGCGCCTAGACAGGGTATTTAAAACGAAGAATTTCTAGTTGACAACCTCTCAATCCTGGCTACCCTGGGGAAAAGCGATCACGCCGTTATAGCCTTTAGTTTTGTCAGCGAGACTGAGCTAATATATCCCACCAACAACAGGCACTGGAACTTCAAACGGTTGAATGTGTCAGCTTTACAGGACTATCTACAACAGGTGGATTGGGATCTTCACCCTCGACTTTATGCAGATGCTCGTCAGGACTTCTTCCTACACACACTCTTATGTACTACAATGCAGTCAGTTCCTCAGATAGTCCTTAATAATTACAAGAAACCTACAATCATCAAGAACCACACTCTTCGCCTGCTAAGTCGCAAAAGGCACTGTTAGGCAAAGTACAACCGAACTGACAACAACGGAGCGTACAGGCAATACAAACATATAAGGAAAATATGCACAAAGGCCATAAGAAAAGACAGGCTTCAGTACCAGATGAAGCTTATGGATAAAATTGTCTCCAATCCGAAAAGCTTATCCTGTTATGCAGCCTCTCTTCGTCAAGCCAAAACTGGAGTTTCCCGAATGCTAGGTCCTAACGGTCCGCCCAATAACGATGGCGACGCCGCTAACCTTTTGGATGAACAATACTCTCGGACATTTCAACCGACCCACATCTACTATACTGATGACAGCTTCATCTGCAACTCCAAAGGACTTTCCGAAGTGAACCTGAGCGCTGACTTGATGTTCCGGAAACTGCAGCGCTTAAGATTAGACACTTCTCCTGGCCCGAACATGGTCCATTCTGCCTTACTGAGGGAAACAGCCTCAATCCTGACAACGCCGCTTAGCGTGATGTTCTCACACTCGCTAAGTCGAGGAAAACTACCGGAAAATTGGGGCTGGCTCACATCACACCAATTTTTAAAGGGGGTCGACGCAGTGAACCTTCAAGTTACCGACCAGTGGCTCTCTCAATACCTTCAAAAATCATGGAGTCCGTGATATGCGATGGTATAAATGACTATTTACTGTCCTTCAATTTCTTCTCACCCCAACATCATGGTTTCAGGAAGGGTTACTCTTATATAACCAACCTGCTGACTGCGGTGGACAGATGGACAAGGTTGATATCACTTACCTTGATTTCTCAAAAGCTTTTGATAGAGTTAACCATATGTGTCTTATCAATAAGCTCAAACGATTAGGTATCAAACCAACTCTTATTGATTGGCTCATTTAATATCAAAAAAATCGACATTTTAAAGTCAGGGTTAACTTCACTTTATCTGAGGCTACGGAATGTCCTAGTGGGTTCCCCCAGGGCTCAGTACTAGGACCTCTTCCCTTCTTGATTCATATAAATGATCTTCCACAGCAGGTAACGTCAGAATTATTACTTTTTGCTGATGATGTGAAACTTTGGAGAGAGACACGCAACCGAGAGGATATACAGGCACTTCAGAAGGATCTGACTCGACTTAAAAGTTGGGCAGACGATAACGGACTTACCTTTAACACTTCAAAGTGTAAAGTTGTCCATCTAGCAGTATCCCAAGTCGAAAAAGACTTAGGAGTCCTGGCACCTTACGATTTGAAGTCTTACGCTAACTGTGACAAAAATGCCTTCTGAGCAAACCTTGCACTGGTAACATTGAAGCGCATTTTTGGCCAGTTTGACGGAAGAACCTTCCACATTGTCTTTAACATTTTTACTCGTCCCCATTTAGAGTACGGAACCATAGTATTTCTTCCCTCACTCGATAAGGACAATCTGGAGCGTATCCGATGGCGAGCCACGAAACCAGTACGGAGACTCAAATTCAAACCTTCTGAAGAGCGCCTCCGATCACTTAACTTTCACCCATTAGAGCACAGGAGTCTTAGAGGTGACCTTCTGACGGCTTAGGACTTCTGGACATCCCCTTCAACACCTATTTAGGCTTTGTCCCAATACAACCTTAAGGGGTAACACCTAGAAATTGGAGATACAACATAGCAGAAAGGACTCTAGACAAAATTTCTACTCCATAAGAGTTGTCAAATACTGGAATTCGCTGCCGACTGAACTAGTCCAAACGACTTCCCAGGAGTCCTTTATGAGGAAACGACCTATTCTTAGGGACTAAGGATAACATCTTACTATGATTTATCTATTTCCTTTCTGTTTTTCCTCTATTATCACTAATATAGCTAGGTTCCCGCTGTGGAAATTGGTGATCCACTGCTACTAGACACGGAACTCCGTTAATCGAAAGCTTCTATTCCGTCCACAAGCATTTGAACCATTATGTAAAACGACCATTACACAATGTAACAACAGGAACTTCAACAACGTAAAAAAAGAAGCAAAGAGAGAGCTGAAAGTGAGATACTGCATGTATTAGGCTCAACGAGTACAACGGAGATGACAAGTTTTTCCGTCAATGAACGGATGTGATTGGACATCAAGAATTAAAATGTTAAATTCAAAATATTCGGTTGGAAAGATTCAGTGGCGGGTAGATTTATTCGAGTTTTCCAAGTGCTAGATTTATTTCGAGCGTGAGTTCTTTCCGATCATGCTGAATTTTTCTTGCCAGTATTTAACCTATTTTCGGATTTACTGTTGTTTACATTAAGTTCTGCCAGTCACCTGAATGACCAAACCACGTCATGATTCGTGTATTCACACATTTGTCATTACTTGTTAAAACTAGGAAAATGTTAGATCGAATAATGGGGTTTACCAAATGGTCTATATTTATGAGTAATTGTGGTGAGAAACGGCAACTAACTTGCTACCGTTAGTTACCTTGGCTGACAGATCCATTCGGATAGTGATTATCATCAAGCCGGTTATCAGTACCTAGGCCTGCGAATCTCCACGTTCTAGAAAACATTTAATACCGAGAGGCAAAATAAGTACAGGTATGTGAGGTCAAATGTAACTGATGTCTTGTGTGTAATCAAGCTGACTACTGCTTCACTTGCGAACCGGTCGTTTATTAAGTATTTTTACTACCGAATTTCATCTCGTTTTTTTCAAGCTACCATATTGGTTGAGTCTTAGTAACCCTTTTATTTGCGTCTACTTATCTAGTAAGTGGTATTTTTCCTCGCTGAGTAAATTCTATTTTTATCGTTTATTACGTACCAAGACTACTGTTTTCACTTTAATTGAATTCATTTCAGTTAAAGTATTTGACTAGAGTACCGTTTTTACCGTTCTCTCAATTAGTTTTATCGTTGGTACTCTTGAGTATCTAATTTTCAACTGTCTGTTAGTACTTTTGGTCCTAACAATCTACAGTTCTCCACTTTTTGGTCATTGATTATTTTCTTTTGTTTCTGAGCATCATCGCATCTCGTTCCTTTTTTAAAAGAACTTTTAAATGACCGGACAGTGCAAAAAAAGCAGTTGCCAACGTCCGGGTTGTCGTCATCCCGTTGAAAGCGGCATGCAGTGCGACGAGTGCAAAGGCTGGTACCACGAAGTTTGCACGAATTTAACGCCTGCAGCTTTCAAACGGTTTAGTAAAAATGGTTGGGTGTGGCTTTGTCAACAGTGCTGTTCGGATGCAAACAGCTTGCTAACCGAGGACATCTCATTGGTAAATGCTGCAAAAAAGTTTTGGCAAGCGTAGTCGGGACAGTCAGTCAGTCAGTCAGTAACAACGTAGAACTTCGTACGTACGTACATCAGTTCGAGTTGCCACACCACATTAGCACAGAGATGCAGTGGTCAATTCAAATCCCGTAGTGGTAGAGGTAATAATAGTATAAGCAGTAATCAGGAAAATTAGTGTTTGGAGATGTTATTTAAAGAGTATAATACAATGAAATAAATTGGTAAGAGAAAAAAAGAGACAAGGAGGAATAAGGAGATTAAAATTTGGGAGAACACAAAGAGTGTATGCACCTGCGCCATTGCAAACGATTTTGATCCATGTCATTCAACGTCTCTAACCATCGGTTGCTATCATCTCGCGGTCCCCAACCAGGTAGTCTACACCTACCAACATGTCTCAGCCCACTTGTTAGTGACTTCATGGACTTGTGCCATGTTTTGGTCTGGCCGCCCCTGGTTTTCTTCCAACCTACTCCTATACCACTGAACATTGCACGTCGAGGCAGTCGGTGCTTGGGCATACGTAACACGTGTCCCAGCCATCTCAACTGAAGTTTCACTACTTCATCAATTGATTTGCCATCCTTACCTAATACTTGTTTCTTAACAACTGCGTTACTTACTCGATGGTCTCAGGATATACGAGCAATAATTCGAAGACATCTATGGTCAAATACTAGTAACCTACGAATATCCATCGAACAGTACTCGCTTCGTCGACACGCAAATTGATGTGAAGCTAACTCAGGTGAGTTTAAAAAACAGGTGACTCACAACGACCAAAGGAGGAAAAACAGTCTTCAAAGAGGTCTGTCTTAACCAAAAACTCAAGAAAAGAAGTTTCTTCTGTCCTTCGTCTTCTAAATGGTATACAGCAGGAAACGGCTAGAAGCCGCAATCGGTTTCTAGCGGGAAACATAACCTGACCTCTCAAATCGTCGACAAACCTCCGGAATCCCACAGTATGTTTGACGCAACTGTTTGCCTCTCATAGCAACGTTGACGAATAGGTACATGTTTAACGGAAGAAACAACATAACGATATAAAAGGGAATCCTGACCCCATAAAGGTAGTCGAGAAATCGAAGGCTGATCACAGTGATAGATCAGTTATTTTTCATAGAATCAAGGAGGGTGAAAGCTCTGAACCAAAAACTCGTTTTGAGCATGACATTGTGCTGATAAAACAGCTACTTAATCAACTCATGCCTCAAAATATCACCGGAGTCACCTTGCTAAAGGTGTACAGACTAGGTAGTCTAGCGAACTTGAAGCCTAATCAATCGAAACTACTTAAAGTAGTATTCAAATCTTCGAATGAACGCGACTTAATTTTACAGAATGGACATTAATTAAAGGGTTCAGGAGTCTTTATCCGAAAGGACTTACCGTTGGCAGACCGTGTTAAAAACGGGAAGCCGAAAAAGAACTACAGCTTCGGTCAGACGCTGGCGAAATGGACGTTGCGAACCTCCATTACATGCCACCCTAGGTAAAAGTGACCACGCAGTTTTAATTTTCGACTTCCATATGACTGTCAGTCACGAGCACGCGTTAGCTTAATCCAGACCTAACGTCTGGAAAGCAAACATACCAGATATCATGCACTCAGCATCGTTAGTAGATTAGACAATAGACCCAGAGTCCCCGATTGGAATGGCCTGGGACGCATTTCGAAATTCATACCTAAAAGTTACCACATCCCTTGGACTATACCAAGGGGGCCGAGAAACTCATCACCATGGTTCAGTAAGGAGGTTCGCATCCTCCTCCGTAAGAGACGAAAAACGTGGGATAGATTTGGGTGACTGGGACTGATGAGACAAAATCTCAGTATCGAAAAGCTCGGAATACTTGTGCCTCGACCCTCCGTAAGTCTAGAAAATTGTACGAAGAGAAAATTGTTTAGGAATCCATAGAATGTCCTTAACGCTTGTATTCCTATGTAAACCAAAGGACAAAAAGAAGAGGAAACATTCCTGCACTATGGGGAGACAGTACTGCCGCATCATTGGTGGAGGACGACTTTGGTAAGACTCAAATGTTCTCGAACTGCGTTAGCAAAGTATACACCATGGAGGCATTCTTCCGTCAGCGCATACAAATCTCCCCACACATACGCTGGATAGCGTGACCATTAAAGAACTCGATGGCTTTGGTCTGCAAAATAAGCTTGACGTAGGTAAATCCACGGGGCCCGATGAATTGCATCCTAGGGTACTGAAGGAATTATCTAACTTCGTTGCGAACCCTTTAAGTATATGCTTTAATCTATCCGTAAAGCAGGGTCGTTTACTAAAAGATTGGAAGAACACCATAGTAAGTCCTCTCATCAAAACAGGTACGAAACATAAGCCTGAGAATTACCGACCCGTTAGCTTAACTAGTGTGGTTGTTAAAATCTTGTAAAAGATTATTCGGAAGGAGCTGTTTCAGTACCTCGATAAAAACCGGATCCTTTCGGAGAAACAGCACGGTTTCAAAATAGGTTATTCTTGTCTCACTAACTTAATAGTCGCTCGTGAAAGCTGGTGCGCTATTAAGGACCAAAAGTTACATGTAGACGTAGCATACATTGATCTCAGCAAAGCTTTTGACAAAGTTCCGCACAACCGGCTGTTATATAAGCTAAGAAATGTCGGAATTAGAGGCAGTCTTTTGATGTGGATAAAAGTCTTCCTAGTTGGGCGCCAACAAAAAGTACGGGTGAACTCAAAATTATCTAGCTGAGAAACTGTGCTTAGTGGAGTGCCCTAGGGTACAGTTTTGGGGCCAGTGCTATTCCTCTTGTATGTAAATGACCTTCCTCGTCTCCTATCATCGGTCTTGCTATGTGCTGACGTTGTCAAGATATGGAGGACGATACGATGTAAGGATGATAGCTTAGAACTCCAAAATGACCTGAAGGAATTATCTGAATGGTCTCAAACCTGGCAGTTGCCGATAAATACTTCCGAGTGTGTTGTAATGCTTATCGGTCATCAAGGTACAGATACATACACGATGAATAACACTGAGCTACCTGTTGTTCAGACACACAATGACTTAAGAGTCATCGTTAGCCAAGACTTAAAGGCTACTGCACACTGCCGTGCAAAAGCTGCCGAAGGTTTTATAACCTTATGGTCAATACGTAAGGCCTTAAGTCACGACGATGCTAAAAAGTTTTTGTTTCTGTATACAGTGTTTGTGCATTCTAGACTTGAGTGCTGCATACAAGCGGCTGGCCCTGCTTAAAAACAGACAGCGAGCTTCTGGAAAAGGTTCAGAGAACAGCAAGTAAGCTGATTCCCGGAATAGCGAAGCTTCTGTATGATGCTCGACTGGCCCGATGTCATATCTAAGAACTAGAGGTGACTTGATTACAGTTTTCAAGTAGCTTAGTGATAAATTTGCACCTGATATGCCCTCATTTTTCTTGTCTTCCAAAACAGAGAATTTACGAAGACACTCCAAAGAACTTCACAAGTACAGAACAAATTACTTGTCAACTGACTATCGACTTTCCCATCGAATCATCAATGAATGGAATTCATTACCTCAGCACGTGGTTGAGGCTCTATCCGTCGACTCTTTCAAAGAAAGTTGGATCAACTGAGAGACCATCATCGCCAGGACTAACACAAGCCGTCAAGCCTCCTGTCCTTTCCAAACTGAAACTGAGGTGTCCCAGACTAATCGCTGTGGTAAACTCACCTGTCACTTTTCAGATAAGGGTGAGATTCGGTGGGACAGTTTAATTATGCTGTATCTTTTGTGCACTGAACACACACCGGACACCTGCAATCAATCTTACAGTTTTGCGTCACGCTGGTTATACAGAATTTAGCAAAACATCTTGATACGTAAGACCATGAGTCTAATGAAGACTGGAAACTCTTCAAGAATGAAAATTTTTTCTACAGAAAATACAGTTGTGTTTTAAATACAGAATAGTTAATGGATTCAAAAAATTCATCAAGCGCTACCATCAACTCAGTCCCATATACAAACGATATCACTGCGGGAGACCAAACATAACTAATGATAACCTTACCGGTGGACCAAACTTCGAACAATAATATCAAACTTTAAGAAGCGTTGCGGTACTATTAAGATCCAGAGGCAAGATTATGAAAGTATATCTGTAAGACTGCACAATGATGATTTACGGTAGGGCCTGATCTCGAAAATCCGGAAAACTTCAGATACTTTAGAAAGTGGAGTTGATATGTGGGCTAAAGGGCTTTTGAAAAAGCTGTTAGATAAAACATAGTCTAACGTTCCGCTGGTCAAACATTATTTTGACTGGATTAATATCAAAGTCTACTAGACCATTTTTCAATCAGGTTATTTGTCTCATAAACTGAAACCCAGTTAGGAGCCCAAATGCTAGACTTGAATACAACCTAGGTCACATTGAGTTTTTAATATCGGGACCACTCCTCAAAACAGCATCAGTAGTTAGTATATATATGAGATTTACGGAGTTAGATAGAAAATAGATTCTGAAAATGGACAGTCAAGTAATCTTTTGTAGGTAATATGTCCTTCCACGGAGGGGCAAGACTCACCAAAAGCTTGCTCAAACTTCATGGATTAGGATTTTATGTTCGCACCAACTTCACTCTTGCTAATGTCGTTACCAAGTTGCCCGCAGAAATCGAAATAAACAAACGCCGTCAAGTCCCAGAAAAATCTAATTCTGAAGGCTTTTGTATTATCGAGGTTTTGAGTCTAATAATCCTCAAACTATTACTAGTGATGGTCCAAAAATCTATTTAACAGAACTTACCGTTAAGCACATCAACACTCTCTGACCACCGGAAGAAAAAGCGAAGCTTTTTAATATTATAGGTTCCATAGAACCCGATACCACAGCTCTTTCTGATGTATGGCTGACAATAAAGCTTAGTGACAGTGAGGGCTGTAAATTCGGGGGTGTTGTTATTTACATGGAAAAAACCCATCCATATAAACTTTGCACATGATAACAGAACGTGTGAAGTAATGCGATGTAGGCCAAAATGTCAAGATATCGATTTGGTTGTAGTATACCGTAGTCTTGATTTTGAGTCTGATGAACTCCTAACTAGGCTATAATCCCCAGAACACCTTGGTACGGCTGAGGGTGAGGAGAACAAGCTCTCTCTCTCAAATGCTCTCGCATGACTACGCACGCGTATACGGCCACTGCCAGGAAAATCCTACTCACTACCTTATCAGGGTGGCGGTGTTGTTTACGAGATTGAGGGGACGAAAAGCGAATGTCCGGCGATTTAAACGGGTTAGTGGATATGGAGGATCCATCTAGGGTAGTTGAAAAACCCTGATTCTAAACCAATGGTGTACATGGGCTCCAGGATCCTAAGGGGACAAATGGTGTGTGGACCTATTGTTAGTCACCGGCTACCATGGGACGGCATATCCTAACGTTTCTCTACTACCTGGTGGATCAGACCTTTAGGTCGAAGGCTCCAAGTGTGGCCTCCTAAGAAAACTACCTACTTCGATCTTTGCATTCGGGCAGTATCCCAGCCCACACACAAATCAAGTGACGTGTAGCGCATATGTATTCGGTGCCCCTTTGTACCAATATTTATGTTTAAATAAATAAATAAATAAATTTAGAAGCCTTTTAGTAGGTGACGTCAATAAACTATCAACTAATTGAGTAAGTTTTGTGACGGAATCATTGACCGTTGATAGTAATTAAACAGACCGTCAGAACCATAAGTCGTGCTCAAAAGCAATGAATTGGATGGTTTACGTAGTCTAAGAATTTATGATGCGTTGCATTGCCTTCAAACAGTTCATCCTCGCTATGAGAATGCAGTCATTTCTAATATGTGTGTTCGGGTTCGTAAATTCTTTTATAAATGACTTTTAAGTTCTTATGATGTCTGTGTACAGATGACAGGATGACTTGTTGGAACAATAGTTTGTGAACGAAATTCACAACCATTTCACGATGCAAGTGCCTATTTTTCACCACATCATCGAAGACGGTTTTAGATTGAGAGCTTACTTTGATCAAAAAAGAGAAGGAAAATTCATACTAAGACGTGTTGCGTATAAAAGCTGCATAAGTAGTGTGATTCCGCTCTCCGTTCAAATTATATTCGCTTCATGTTGGCATAAAAACATGTTTTTTATTTGGAGTTATGTGATCACTGAATATGGGTATCAACGACAAGCATAGTAGTTGCATCCATAATTGATTTTTAAAAAATCGTTGTACTTTGAATAATATGAGAGTATGGAAATTCTGTAGATCCATTTAATTATGATACCCTGAAAGTTTTGCAGCAGTTGACAGTCTTTGGTAAAACAACTCTAATCCGAGTAAGTGATAAATCTGATTTGGTTCGTGTTGCTACACCTCTCAACGAAGGAAAGAAAAAAGTACTGCTATACCAATTAAAGATAATTATATCTGCAATGGAAATGCAACACAAGGAACGCAGTCGAAAAGGAGCAAGTGAGATTAAAGAAAGGAAAGAAGAAAAATGAAGAATAAATGCAATTGCACTATTGCGTTAGATTTTGTGTTATGTCAACCGATATCTTCGTTTACGGGTTACGACTATCGCTCATGCACTAACCAGTAGGTCTGTACATCTCAACATGGCTTAGATTAGAAATCAATGACTTCATGTTTTGGCGCCATGTCACAACTCATCAAGTACTTCTGGATAGTCTGAATGGGTGATTGATTTTAGACCCCTATTAGTACTAACGTCGAAAAGGCTATAACTAGCTTAAAACAGAATTTTTACAAGTTGAAATCATGAGCCAATTGAAGCTAGACCACCATGGAAAACCTGGAAGCACTGGACGGCCGTTTCGTCCTAGTATGGGACTCCTCAGCAGTGCGCATCCACGAACCCGCCCCCCGCGGGACTCGAACCCAGGACCTACTGGCTTCGCGCGCGAGCACTCAACCATTAGACCACTGAGCCGGCATCCAACCGTGTTAATGTCTAACTTTAACCGATCCACGTAGTAGCGCCACTGTACACCATTGTCTTCAGTGAGTTCCTATCTCACAACAGACCTGGTTGAACTCAATTGGCTCATGATTTCAACTTGTGAAATTTCTAAAAATCTCCACAAAACCCATTCTGATATTAAAACAGAATTGTTTAAATCACTGATTATCCCAGTCTATAAGAATGAATAGGAATTAGTTCGTGTTTGATATTCTGGCATCGATGATCACCCGGTACTTTACTTTGGCTCGTAAATAACAAAGCCAAGAAGATAAGGTTCACTTTAGATTTAGATGTGGATGAACTGTTCAAACATCCACTCTCCAACAAGTCTTAGGACGGAAGCATGCTTGTCGACGCCCAAATAAGGTTGCAATTTTTGACCGAAGGGTTGTATTTGACTTCAATTAAACACAAGAATACTGTAGTCTTTGACGTGTAAACAAACATACTGAAAGTCGAGGAATTACTGAGGATAAATACTTTTCTTTTTAAGTTTTGACATTGTGCTGGTGCGTTTCCTCTCTTCACTGTCCTTGAGTAACAGAGTTTTCAAAAACAAGACATGCTGTCACGCGTTCAGAATTCTATCAATTTTGTTTTTCTTTTATCTTTTACAACTGTTTTCCTAATTGATCTCACCATTAAGTATGAGTACACTAAGTATGTGTTGTAAATTCTGTGCTCACATTTACCTTCTTTTCAGATATTCTGCAGATAGTTGACTGCCACCGCGAAACTACTACTTTTGTACATGTCTCTATTATAACGTTCTTCAAGACCAATCTCAAATTTACTAACTACCGAGACTTTCAGTCGTTTTACTTTCAGCCAAATACGACAAAGATCTATGAGGCAGATTGGTGGAAGGTGAGTTAATCACGCCTTACGATTTTTTTATATTTCGGATCAGTAGTATGTCGGATTTTTATTAAGGGGACAAATCGTGATTCGTTTCGAGAAACTATCAAGATAAATAGATATATCACTTAAATAACTGTTTTGCAGTTCCTAATTTTTTAACATTTTCTTGAAACAGTACACTGTCATTGATTTGCTGCTCGCTATCATCCTGTAAATTTTTTGTCAGTTTACGTCTAGGTTTTTTAAAATAATATCAAGTAGAGTTTGGAAATTTCCTCTGAGATGTAGTGAAGTGAATTAGTTGCTAAAACATTCAACTTCAAATCACTGAGTTACATTTTGAGATAACCGGATAGTATCAATAACGCCTGCGAAAATAGTGTAGATCGAAGTTAGTTGCGAGATCTTATACTTGATTACTGTGTGCGTAATTCTGAGCTCGCCGTAAGGTCATAGTTATCTTAAGTATCTTTAATATTTGCTTCTCAGTTTATAATTCTGAAGTTAACACAAAAGGTTAATATGATTTTCAAATATGCTCAATTAATTTATAGCTACTGAAGTGCCTTGACGTAAAACATCCCCAGCACCAGTCTCTAATGTCAGGATTTGCTACTAATTTAGCTTGATTTTAAGAAAAACGAAAAATATGACAACTGAGCTTTTTAAATGTATTTTATGAATTAAAGATAACTGAACGAAATTGTAAATAGGAATTCCTTTTGATTGTTGGATTTTCTCCCTAATAGGTCTAATGTTTTAAATGAACACTGTGAATCGTCGATAAAGATTAAATGGGTCTCAACTGTAGAGTACAAAAACATGTGGTACATATCTTGGTCTGTCATTCATTATACTATTCTATAATGAATAGATTAACAGTAGTGAAAGCTTAGAGCTCACCACATTAATTTTTAACAGTAACACATGAATTTACTGTATGTAGACGAATTAGTGTTTCTTGTTAGGTACTTCATGCCCCCAAATGCCCTGATACGACCGAGAGTGGGGAGAATCCGCTCTCCCTCTCGAAATGCTCTCACATGGCCACGCGTATATAGCCTCTCCCAGGGAAGTCTTACTCACTGGCTTCTCGTGGCGGTGTTGTTTACGAAACTGAGAGGACGAAAAGCGAATGTCCGGCGCTATAACCGGATTCCAAACCAATGGTGCACATGGGCTCCAGTATCCTGAGTGAACAAATGGCGTATGAACCAATTGTTGGTCACCGGCTACCATGAGATTGCATCTCCTTACGATGCTCCACTGCCTTGTGGATCAGACCTTCAGGTCGAAGGCTCGGGGTGTGGCCCCCTAAGTAAACCACCTGCTTCGGTTTGGGCACCCGGGCACTATCACAGCCCTTACACATATCGAATGAGATTTGTGTGGCGCATATGTATTTAGTGCCTCCTTTACCAATGTTTGTGTTCAAATAAATAAATAAATAAATAAAAAAGGTGCTTCATGGTAAGGCACTACAGCATGTTTATGTATACATATCTGGCAAACATGCCCTAATCACTTTCCGTAAATTTATAATACATTCATAATGTATGGTCATTCCATTCATACGTAGTATTTTAGTAACGAATTTCTTTGTTGAATTTATTCTCTAATTTTCCAGATGGTTTCACCATAACTTAACTGGTTTGGAAGCTGAAAAACTGTTGACTTTAAAAGGTGTCAGTGGCAGTTTTCTTGCTCGTCCAAGTCACAGTACTCCAGGAAGCTTCACACTTTCAGTTCGTCGTGGCGATGAAGTTACACATATTCGCATACAAAATACTGAAGAATTTTTAGATCTATATGGTGGAGAAAAGTTTGCTACTTTGTCAGAATTAGTTACATACTACATGGAGAATGAGGGACAACTCAGAGAAAAAAATGGTGATCTTATCGAGCTGAAATATCCTCTCATTTCGGAAGATCCGACAACTGAGCGGTAAGTGACATAAAACAGTGTAATTTATCACCTATAAATTTAAGTATTAATGGAGCGTCACAACCACTCTTTTTAAGGTGAGAATTCTCCTTAGCTTTGAATTTCCATTAAGTGAATGAAACGCAAACGCAAAGATCTTTTGATAAATTGGATCCCACACACGTTGTAATATCCATTTTGTTATTCAGAATGCATGGCCCCAAATGCCCTGGTACGGTCGGGAGTGGGGAGTCCTCTCTCCCTCTCGAAATGCTCTCACATGGCCACGCGTATATAGCCTCTGCCAGGGGAGTTTTACTCACTGCCGTCTCGCGGCGGGAGCGTTGTCTGTGAAATTGAGAGGAAGAAAAGCGAATGTCCGGCGCTTTAATCGAGTTGGTGGACATGGAGAGTCCACCTGGTGGAGTTGGAAATCCCTGATTCCAAACCAATGGTGCACATGGGCTCCAGTATCCTGAGTGAACAAATGGCGTATGAATCAATCGTTTGTCACCGGCTATCATGGGACTGCATCTCCTTACGATTCTCCACTGTTTTGTGGATCAGACCTGTAGGTTGAAGACTCCGGGTGTGGCCCCCTAAGGAAAACATCTGCTTCGGTTTGGGCACCCGGGCACTATCACAGCCCTCACACGAATCTCATTTGATTTGTGTGGCGCATATGTATTTAGTGCCTCCTTTACCAATGTTTGTGTTCAAATAAATAAATAAATAAAACGAGTGTAAGTAAATGTCCAACAGATAATTCTTCAGTAGTGTATGCAAAATTTCGATTTTCACAGTTGAAATTGCGAGTCGATATAAGCCAGACCACCATTGAAAACGTGGAAGCACTGGGTCGTTTTGTTATAGTATAGGACTCCTCAGAAGTTGTCACCCACGACGGCGCACGCGCGTCTCGAACCCCAGAACATTCGGTCTCTCTCTCGCGAACGCCTAACCTCTAGACCACTGAGCCGACATCCAACATTGTTAATGTCTAACTTCGATATATGGTCTTGCGCAACCTTTCATCAATTATCTAAGGTGGATAACCATTTCACACTTGACACGCATTGGACTCCACTGATCACGGCTTCTAACTAGAACTCCAGGAATTACATCTTGAAGCTAGTCAACAGTGAGCATATGATTGTCATCAGTATGGGGATTCTAAGGGGCTCAAACTAGGAAGAAAAGGCTTTCTGGTGCTTCCAGATTTCATTGGTGGTTTAGACTAGAACTTGTGACTTCAACTGCGGAAATACTACAATCTCCACGAATCCCCATACTGATAAATAATTTTAGTTGTTGAAAACTCACCATGTGCTTCAACTTCAGGACTCAGGAATATCTTATTGTCCTAAATAATCATTATGAATCGACTTAAATACACTCTTTGTTGTATTGCTTAATGAAGGAGCTGTTATTTGGTTGTTTGACAATCCCCCCTCTTTAACCTATCAATATTAAAGTAGTCACATTAATACTACTCTGATATTACAAGTTGCTGAGTTCAGCACATTATTTGTTCCCTGTTTTAAACATGACCGACTGATCACTGGTTTCTTGCCTATATATTTCATCCTTCTGGTTAATCAAGATGTCCATCTCCTATTGGTTTTCACTTTGAACTGTTAACAAGTGTCACAGACCATACCGAAGTGACGTTGCATTGGCTTTTTTATCTCGGTTGTAAGACTGATAGCCTTCAACACGTGGATTATTCTTCACCTAAAATATAGAACAGAATTAAAATCACAATCGATGAATCGTAAAACTTTCCAAAACCAAAATCAGCAACCTTGTTTACAAACACGGAGATAAAGGTAATGATTTGTAACTGAAACCAAAAGCCACCACAGGACAGACTGGATACCAAACTTCAACAGACCTACAAATACTTTGTGTAAGATGCAAAGATTGTAAACATTGTCAACGACAAACCAACAAACACAGAGCTATAGTCAGTGTTGTAACCTTGATAAATAATCGACTTCAAATAGAAAAACAGAAAAGAAACGTTAATATAATAGTATTCAAGATCGGTTTAGAGCGTATTCACTTGGATACTAACAGACGTGACATAAAATATACGTTAGGAATATCTTTTCGAACCACAGAGTAGACATCCAATAATTACGACAACTTTGAAGTTCGTGAGACAAAAATGTAGTGAGTAATGCTCATTAAACGTTCTGTTCATTGACACAGTCTGAACCCATAATATGGAAAACCTCCAAGTTAGTTATTGCTTGCAAACGAAAATATGGTGTCCAATGGGTTCCGAGGTTGCGTTTTGTTATTCCATCATCATATATTGTACAACGAGCGTTGTGAAGAATAACTGATCGTGTGTCTTCACGCATTTCACTATTCTCTTTCGGGTCAGTGACCACAATAACACCGATTATCTCTAGGATTATCGCCTAAAGTGATGCTAAAACGCGTCTGACAAATGTCGGTTACGAATTGAAGTTTAAATACTGAATGTTGAATGGGTTATGTTTTCGTCGAATTTCAGTGAAGGAGTAAGTCTTAGGTAACTAAAGACAACGGCTTCCTTCCAAGTTACTCTGACCAAAGATTGCAATTTAGTAATATGTCGACCTGTAGTGATTTAACCTATTCCAAACACTAAGTGTCCACTTTCGCTATCTCATTTTTAGGAAAATATCTCGACTAATTAAAGGCGGTGAATAAGAATTTCTCACTTGAATCGACAAATATGTATTTTTATGAGGGCATTTCGAGGGAGATAACTGTTGTAACGTGTGTGAGACTGCAGGTTTTGATAGCAGTGTTTTATCGATCGATCACAGTAACACGGAAAACACGTACGGACGACCTAGAGCCCTGATTGGTCCCACTTCGCAGTCTGTCCCAGCCAGTTGAGTCAGGAACACAAGTCACAGCCTCTGAGTTATGAATCATTGTATTTCAGACATACTCTATTTATATACTAACCAAACAAACCACATCGTACCACAAAATAGAAAACAATATTTACACAATATTTAACAAGTGAAACAAACATCGACCAATGGGAAATGTACATTTAAGGTCCAAGGCCACCATAGACTTAACACGATAATTATTGGTATATTTTTCCGACTATCCTAACAATAACATTTTCGTCACTTCACGCACATGTGTTTGAATCCTTTGTGCAAATAGTCTGACTCATATCTTAAATTAGAATTCATTTTGTATATTTTGAAGTGAGCTAAACGTTTTATGAAAGCTGCAAAGGACTGGCTTGTGTTGGTCCTTCACGACTCCCTGGTTGGGGTCCGAGAGATGGTGCTACACAGTGGCTAGATACGTTATCAGATATGGCTCAGAAGAGAAGCTAGTGGCGATCCTGCTGTAACCTTCTTTTACTTTCTTCATAAAAAGTGGTTGTGTCTCCCTTAACTGAAAGATTTCTTCTGATTGTACCTTTCCGTTCCTTCATTATTACTATTATTATTACTACACTACCTTACACCAATCTCTTCGTTATTGCTTTTTTCTACGTTCCTTACCTTTTTTTCTTTTCTCTTCGAATTCTCATTGTTTTGTGTGGCACATATATATTGGCGCTCTCTTGTACCAATATTTATGTGTTCAAATAAATAAATAAACGTTTTATAACTTATGTTTTATCTGCTTTTGGTAGTTCTCTTCTAGTACATGGTAAAACTGAATAGCATTTGCAATTGATATCCTATACCAATCAGAACGAAATATATATAAAGAAACAGTATAACTACTTTTAAACACCTTGCCATCACTCTGCCTAATGGTATTTAGTTTGCGAATGTTCCCGAAGTCTTTATCATAAGTTTATCAGTTTCACAGCATGGAATGGACTGATCTACATACGTTTTACTCCAGCCAATATATAACTGTAACGAATAGTCCATGGTTTCTCTGTTTTCTAGAATTCGCTTACCTTGATCTCACATAAATCTGAGAGTTCAAGGTCTGCAATTCGACGTAGTAAATCAGATACATGCAATATACCATTCCCAAAATAGTTACTTGATAACAAATATGAAATCATTAAATATTATTTTATATTTTTATATCAGTAGTTATTGGATAGTTTTTATTTTTTTAAATACCGATTTGTCCACATGGTTGTTTGTTTCCAGGTATAGTGTACAAATATTTTAATAGTTTTATTTTCTTTACAGTTGGTTTCATGGAAAAATCACCGGGAAAGAAGCTGAAAAGATGCTACTAGAACGGGGCAAACCTGATTGTTTTCTGGTTCGTGAATCTGTTCACCGACCAGGGTCTTATGTCCTGTCAGTTCTAACAGGTGAACAAGTAGCACATATTATGATTCATGGGAAGCCGAATGGAATGTATGATGTTGGAGGAGGACACCAGTTTTCTTCATTAAAGGAATTAATAGACTTCTACACAAATACTCCCATGGTCGAAAAAAATGGAGGCTTAGTGTCACTAAAACAGGTAAATCAAAAGTTGATATATTCCCCTAAAAAATCTATGGCTAGTCAGACGTAATCAACATGTGGCTTGACACAAATTTACATCAACCTGGTCGCAAAACAACAACTAGAAGAAGTAAAATTAAGAAAATAATTTTTGAAAGGACTTGAGATAATACTGGTCACAATTGTGATGGACAAGATTAGATATTCGAGAATACAGCTTTAAAATAAGAGATGAATTTCATGAATATAAGTGCGGAATTACGTCGAAACTCAAAATCTAGATAAAAGTAATGAATGAGTTCATTTACTCCACTGTAATCGGCTCTCAGTCATATCACCCATCTCCAAGCTATGATCTGTTATCTCATAGATTCCAAGTAGGTAGTCTACACCTACCAACACATCTTAGTCCAGCATAAATCTTTGTGAATAGGTAGTTCATTTCATCGTCTAGAGTTCTTTCACTTCATTCACTGGTTTCTAAACACTACATTGTTTCTGCAAAATTGAAGCAGAAAACACAACTTATCAAGACTATGGATTATCCCATCTGTTTCATACTTTTTTAAAGTGTGGTGAATTGAATATCAAGCCGTTTTAATGTACGGTTCATTCATCTGTGTAAAAGACCGATGGCTTAGATTTCTGGATTTTTTGTCATGATTGTTTTTAACGCTATTCCATATTTGGAATATCGAACTTTAGGGATTGGAGATAAAAATTGAACTTTAAACAGTGAAAACGAGTCATTTAAAAAAATGTGAACGTAAACTAAGTCATTTGAGCTATGTGTTGAGCACAGAAAGCCATCGTCTAATATGTAGTTCTTTCTGATTACAAACGTATAGTGGGGTAGGCCCAACGATAACTAAAGTATGTCAGTCAGCCCACTAGGTAGCTTACTACTTTTCGGTTGAGGTATAAATCCGTTCAGTAACTAACAGAACTCTATTGTTGTTCTATAACAAGGTAGACATTAACCTGTCATTGTTTGTTGTTATATGACTAGAGTTATTTTTTCTCTGCTGCTCTTAGGATTAAAGAAACAGTTATAATAAGATTATTAATAGTTGTTTTGTCGTGACACTGTAGGATGAATGTCACATAAATACCCAGAATTTATCTTATTTATTACTACTTGCCACCTAATACATTTATATGAGCCAGCTATTTTAAAGGTACAGAGAGCTATAGAAAAGTTTATTTCCAGCTATTTATCATAATCCATCGTTCTAATTGACTAGTTTTAAGCTATTATTAAGAGCCACAATATGTTTTTGTTCTTATCATGAAAGCTGCAACTAAATTTATTATGTCTTGATTTCTGGTTTGTTGTATAACTACAATAATTCGCCGGATTTGAATACTTAAGATCCCGTCAGACATATGTATGTAGTGAACGAACACTCAGGTGGGAAAACCGATTTATTATTTATCGCAAAATTACAGAGTACTTTCACAAAATATGAAAACGACACATTAAATAAATAATTTGCACATCTTCCATCAGTTGTCCTTTACATGCTTCATGATTCGATTCCGTTGTTATTAAAAAATTCTGTTTTCGTAAATTGAATTTTCTCAATCTTCTACTGGGATGCTTTCCACTTTCCATTACTGCTAAATACTACTTATATCTATCAACATGAGTAGTATACACCACATCATAACTGGTTGCTTTTATTGAGTTTTTCCTTGATCTTAATTAATTTCTAAAATAAGGTGAAAGTTTACTGATATTTTCTAATGTTAAATAAATGCACAAATATAACTATCTCGGATTTTTACTTAAACGAAGCTTTCCATAAAAATTTGGTTTGATTATTAATCTAACGCTGTAATTACTTTTACATTAAAATATAGACTGTGAGGTGGATATTTTACTTTAGATTGCATAATTTAATCGTAGTGACCACTTAAGACAAATGGATCTGCGGTTTTTATGTATATATTTAAGGCATCGAGTTGTATCTCTGATTTTTCTTCAAGAATAAAAATAATATAATGGATACTGATTTGTAGATGGGGCTTTTACAAAACTTTTATTTACTCATGTACTTTTTTTGATGTGTGCACGAATGTTACAACACTTACAACGTACTGTTCATTCAAATATCCGTAATAATTCTTTTTTTCTCAATTAGCCTTTCAACGCTACTCGATTTAACGTTTCTACCATTGATCAGCGTATGCATCAGTTGGAACAAGAAAGTGGTCATGGTTCCGGGTTAGCTGGATTTTTAGAGGAATTTGAAGAGTTGCATCAGGAAGCTCATGTAATTTTATTTTTTGTATCTTGAAATTTTACACCGATTGACTTACGATGTGCTTGTTCTGGGCTATTACAATAAACCATCAAATTTCCATAGGTTTCATAGAAAACAATGTGTAGCTTTTTGTTAATTTTGAAGGTTCATTTCTAAAGAGTCTTACAACAAGTTCATTTCCTGCAAGAATACCCTACCAGCATTTTAGATTGCATTTATAATCCTTTCGATGAACAGTTACATATTATAACAACAGTTTTCGTGATTTTCAATTTTTAGATTGTCCAGGTCAGAGATGTTTCTTTGAATGCCGTTTAACTTTACATCCAGTTATGTAATAGGGAATGTAATGTAATACAATTTGATCTACTGTTCAAACTATTTGGTTGCCTTAATTATAGATTACTAACTATTTATCGGATTTCGAAACACGGCAAAGCTGAACGACAACTTCTGAATATCTTTAGCGTTCTGGAAATTGGTCATTATAACTGATATTTGTGGGAGAAAGATCAACCAATAATAATAAAGTTGCGTCTAGATTGATTCGCCGTATTGTTTATACTAACGCTTTCATACAGCTGAGGAGTCCAAGTTTTATGAAGTACCAGCTCGTTTGAATTGTTCCAGGTCAACATATTACTAAATTGCAATCTTTGGTCAGAGTAACTTGGAAGGAAGCCGTTGTCTTTAGTTACCTAAGACTTACTCCTTCACTGAAATTCGACGAAAACATAACCCATTCAACATTCAGTATTTAAACTTCAATTCGTAACCGACATTTGTCAGACGCGTTTTAGCATCACTTTAGGCGATAATCCTAGAGATAATCGGTGTTATTGTGGTCACTGACCCGAAAGAGAATAGTGAAATGCGTGAAGACACACGATCAGTTATTCTTCACAACGCTCGTTGTACAATATATGATGATGGAATAACAAAACGCAACCTCGGAACCCATTGGACACCATATTTTCGTTTGCAAGCAATAACTAACTTGGAGGTTTTCCATATTATGGGTTCAGACTGTGTCAATGAACAGAACGTTTAATGAGCATTACTCACTACATTTTTGTCTCACGAACTTCAAAGTTGTCGTAATTATTGGATGTCTACTCTGTGGTTCGAAAAGATATTCCTAACGTATATTTTATGTCACGTCTGTTAGTATCCAAGTGAATACGCTCTAAACCGATCTTGAATACTATTATATTAACGTTTCTTTTCTGTTTTTCTATTTGAAGTCGATTATTTATCAAGGTTACAACACTGACTATAGCTCTGTGTTTGTCGGTTTGTCGTTGACAATGTTTACAATCTTTGCATCTTACACAAAGTATTTGTAGGTCTGTTGAAGTTTGGTATCCAGTCTGTCCTGTGGTGGCTTTTGGTTTCAGTTACAAATCATTACCTTTATCTCCGTGTTTGTAAACAAGGTTGCTGATTTTGGTTTTGGAAAGTTTTACGATTCATCGATTGTGATTTTAATTCTGTTCTATATTTTAGGTGAAGAATAATCCACGTGTTGAAGGCTATCAGTCTTACAACCGAGATAAAAACCGGTATAAGCATATCCTTCCATTTGATTGGTCTCAAGTTAAACTTCTTGATGGTAATCCTGAAGAACCTGGTTCTGACTACATCAATGCCAATTATATTTGTTGGCCTGTAAGTTATCCGACTGTTTTGTCGTTTATTAGTTTTCCTTCCTTTTTGTTACTTTTGACTACATTTTTTTCGTTTCCTCTTGTCACCTATTTGTTGCAATCAAAACTTCTGACGAATTACTGTCTCTTGATCAGCAAATATAGCACTTTCTATTTTGTGTTCTTTTATCTCCGTTTGTGCAAAATATTGAATTCTCGTTACTAATGTGGCAGATTTGTTGGTTGATCACTAGACCAAATTATTGGCGGAAACCTCTGATTAAAGTTTGATCAAAGACTAGACCGAAAGCATGACTTTACATCTAGTAAAGTTACATCATCAGCTATCAAAATTGACCAGGGAATATGAATTTTGTTAATCACTTCTAATTATTTACATCTGGATTTTATCCATAATATCAGACATACTGTTTTGGATGTGACCTTTCCTGTTTAAATGTCTCTATATCAAAGCTCTTGCAAAATTCTGTATTCTCTCTTATTCGTCTACCGTCGTCATCGTTGAAGTATCGATGTGCACTAGTCGTCAATCTACTTACTCCAGCTTGATTCACCACACTCTTACTTATGTTACCTCCCATTCGTCACTGCTTTGAAACCAATCAAACTACACAAATCATCATCACATTAGGTACATGTCAATCAGTTTAACGTAAGTTAGATGGGCACAAATGAGACCACGCTATGGACTTCAGTCATCTAAAAATAGTCGCTTGCTTGATGATTTGTCAGTCTGTTTCTTTCATTTTGAAGTGAGATTCAGTTATTCCAACTGTTGCACTCTGTGACATCAACCAGGATTTATTGTTTATTTTTTATATGTGGCTAACTAAAATCATAGTAAGATGGTGGTTAGAGGTAATCGATGGGAAATCCTGGACCTAGGTTTCGTGCTATTTGGCACTCGTCAGCAAGATGTACCTGTAATCTTGAGGCAAATGACACTCTCTGGCGGATTCGGTCCCGTGTTACACAGCTTTACAGTCAGAGACGTTACATCTCAGTCGTACAGGTGGTCAGTCGCAGCCCAGATGGCCCAGTGGTAACGTCTCTGACTGTGAAGCTGAGTGATGCGGGACCGAATCCGCCAGAGAGTATCAGTCCCCTCAAGATTACAGGTATACCTTGCTGAAGAGTGCTAAATAGCACGAAACCTAGGTCTAGGGTTTCCTATTGACTACCTCCAACCACCAGCTTATCTCATTATAGTGCACGCAATGTTGAGTCACCCAGAGTCGTGGCCACATTGCAACTTGGTCGTCGATAGGATTCGATCTGCACTAAGAGAGACCTGACGCACATGACATTGATCACCACCCGGTGATCAATCAATTGTAAGTAAAATAGTAGTCTTTGGAATAATGAGTTGTCCTTTTACATCAAACATTGATTCACCACTGATTTTGTGACAGTTTTCCCTGTTTTTTTAATCGTTACCACCTAATGAGGCTGATTTCGAACATGTTTTTTAGAATTATTGATTATAATTTTCCCAGTTATTGATTTTCAATTTTTATACCAAACCTGTTGCAGGTCCATCTAACTGAATCTCTTTCTAATGGAAGTTCTTTCTGTTGTGTCAAATATCACCCAATTTCTTCAGTTTCTGATCAGAATAATAATCAACAATGTAATGCTTCTATCACTACCTCCAATTCTCCACACACTCCAAATAGTTCTGCTGCATTTTTTTTCAATGGGAAACCACGTTACATAGCCACCCAAGGGGCAGTTGCTAATTCACAAGATGCATTTTGGCGTATGATATGGCAAGAAAAAAGTGCCGTAATCGTTATGATCACGAAAATAATGGAACGTGGTAGGGTAGGTCATTTTTGCTAAATATCTGTCTTTTTCTCTATAAGTGCCCTAAAATTACAAAAAAAGGCAATCGTTTCATCTTAACCTTTTCTCAGTCATCGTTTATATGGTTTGTGTGGTTTGTCAAATCGAATTAGAAAAAATTCCGAATTTTCATTATTCTTAAGAAAAATCAAGGATCTCATGAACAATTTTCAGTATTCAACATTCATCTACTGCGATGATAGCCACATAAATTTATGGGTCTTCACAGTTGTTTATAGTTTTTTTTTATTGCATTGAAATCATTAAAAGTTTTGACGAAAGTATTGGAGATTAGTTACAAACTCAATGCATGCATAAAACACTATTTAAGATAGTCACTCTTTATTGTAATTCCACAGAGGATCAAATTTTGTTTTCCCATGATTACCTTTACTAATCTATTGATTAAAATCAGTCTAGAGTGACCAACCGTAATTAGGACTTTCCTTAAGTTTTAAGTAAAGTCATCACAATTATTTTATACGGTCCCTTAAATTCAGTATTGCTTCATGAGACACGTCACAGAAAAAGTAATGTCATGTTGTTAGTATCTAGCAACAATGTAATTCAAAAGAATTTTTGAAAGCTTATGTAACAAGATTCTTTCCTAAAATTATCTCTTGCTCATTAAGATACCTATCCATCGTCAACTAACTGTATACACATGACAATAATGTTTGATGAGTACTTCCCAAATGCTCAGGATGTTTTATATAGTCACACTAGTTAGTTTTGAATTTTTAAATGAAAATAACTATGATTTGTAAAACTTGTATAGTCATAAATTTATGTATAAACTACCAAACTAACATTTAGAAACAAACGAACGTACATTGCATGCTTTGTTTCTTCGGCTGTCCAAATCGAGTCTTGATAAATTTCCCTCAATAATACATATGTTGTGTATAGAGATCCATTAATTGAGAGATAATTTTTATTTAGATGCCAAACAATTATCGATTGGCGCATAGTATTTAATAAATGAACAAAAATTCTTTGCCATGTATTATCTTTATTTCGATTACAGAATAAATGTATTCGTTATTGGCCAACTGCAGAAGAAGGTATACGAGAGTTTCCAAATTATGGTGGTACGATTCGTGTCCGACATTTGTCTGAAAGGAATTCTGTTAATTACACGCTACGTGAACTTTATATGACTAGAGATTCTTCTATATCAACAAAAAACACAGAACATCAGTTTCCTCATTTACCTGAATCTGTTACTTCCACTTCTACTTGTTCGAGTCCTACTATCTCTGACACACGATTTGATCAGAAGCATTGCAAATCAAGTAACACAAAATTGCATCAAACCGATACCACACTATCAACCGTCAGTAGTCTTGAAAGTACATCTCGAGAAGTGAATTCAGGAAATGGACTTACTGTTTATCACTATCATTTCACTGTTTGGCCCGATCATGGAACTCCTAGTGATCCTTCGTGTGTACTCGATTTTATGCATGACATATCTGCTCGACAGGTAAGTGAAATACTTGTATCCACTTTATGGTTGTCCTTGAAAGTATACTTCCAAATGTCTTTAGACGAGTGTGAGTAGACTAAGACCTTATAGTATCTCAATTGCACTGGGTATTTCTCTGGTGTCTGATTAGTTAAATGAGTTTAGTTAAATATTGGTTTATCTTTCCAATTTTTTATTAAATGGGTAAAAATGAATACATTGAGTCAATCAAATATTAGCCCAATCGTAAATGCACGCGACTGAAATTTCTAAGGAACGAGACATGCGCCATTGGTGGCTTAATCTTCTAATGGTCGGACGTATATGTATATAAACGAGTGTACATGCATTCCCGATTCGGTTTAGCTAATAAACATCCGTTCCCACCTTTGTCTTTTCACTCGACTAGCCCGCTGAGTTAGTGTGTAGGAATATTGCTTATCAGTATCGAAAGTAGAAACCGAACAATACAACAAAAATATGTTTTAGAGATATATTAGTATAAAGAAAAATGTTTACTTTTGATAACTTCCAATCTGTGTTCAGCTGTCATTTCTTTGTAAACTGTTAGTGTATACATGAATATAACACTGTAGGATTTCAGTGTCCTTTAGCAATATTTCTATGTTAAAATAGTGTAATCCTTCAACTTAAGAAACCTATTTTAGTTTTCTTTAGAAAAAGTCTAAATTGTTCTTTCTTTTCACGTTCTACGCGAGTCTTCCTATTAAATAGTTGGTTTTCACATCATCTTTTTTATTCTCTATATCTTTACGTTGGTAAGCAATACTGTCCGAAGCGTAAGTTGATTGCTGAGTTCCCAGAATCCAATTCTAAACAAGAAACGGGTCTGAACTATTCATCATAAAGGAAATTTATTTATTATTTATTTATTTGAACACATGAATATTGGTACAAGAGAGCGCCAATATATATGCGCCACACAAAACAATGAGAATTCGAAGAGAAATAGAAAAAAAAGCTAAGGAGCGAAAAAAAAGAGAACAATAACGAAGAGATTGGTGTAAGGTAGTGTAGTATAATAGTAATAATGAGGGAACGGAAAGGTACAATCAGAAGAAATCTTTCAGGTAAGGAGACACAACCACTTTTTATGAAGAAAGTAAAAGAAGGTTACAGCAGGATCGCCACTGGCTTCTATTCTGAGCCATATCTGATAACGTCTCTAGCCACTGTGTAGCACCATCTCTCGGACCCCAACCAGGGAGTCGTGAAGGACCAACACAAGCCAGTCCTTTGCAGCTTTCTTTCATGCCACGACACCATGTCATGCACTGACCACCTCTCCGCCTCTTCCAACCAGTCCCAGAGTCGGCAAATAATGCACGACGTGGAATTCTCTGGGACGACATTCGGAGAACATGTCCAAGCCACCGAAGTCGGTGTTTCAAGATGGTGACACCAATTGATTATCATCTCTGTGCCCGAACACACGATGCCGAACCTCTGCATTACTGACATGGTGTTGCCACTGAATGTCAGCAATCCTTCGGAGACAGCGATGATCGAACACAGAGAGTCGTCTAACGTCCTCAACTCGGAGAGGCCAGGTTTCACAAGCATAGAGCAAAACTGCTCTCACCGACGCGTTGTAGATCCGACCTTTTACAGCCAGACTAACATCACGAAGGCGCCAAAGGTGGCCCAGATTGGCATAAGCCGCTCTGGCTTTCACTATTCGTGCATTGATCTCATCACTCACACCCCCACCAGCACTTATGCAGCTACCCAGATACACGAACTTCTCGACTACGTCTATCTGCTCACCATCCAGGGTGAGTACAGGATTAGAATCCTGCCAGTCTTGTAGAAGTACTTTGCACTTCGAAGGTGCAAAGCACATACCATACCTACGGACACTGATTGCCAACTGATTAAGTGCGGATTGCATATCCTCCACATACTCAAGGTCGAGAAGTCTTTCTCCAGGCAACAGATCCACACCACCATTACTTACATTCATCAGAGCTGTTTCCAGAATGTCATCGATGGCAAAGTTGAAGAGGAATGGTGAGATTGGGCAACCCTGCCTAACCCCACTGCTCGAATGGAACAATGGAGAGAGGTGGTTGTATGCCCTCACTCTGCCTGAGGTGTTTTTATATAGGGCTTTTAGGATGTTAATAAACTTCTCAGGCACACCCTTCTTCAATAGACAATCCCAGAGAACAGTCCTGTCCAACGAATCGAAGGCAGCCCTGATGTCAAGAAACACTACGATTGTTGGCCTTTGAAAGTATGGCGGTGTTCTAACATTTGGCGGAGGGTGAAGATATGATCAATACATCCTCGACCAGAACGAAACCCAGCCTGCTCCTCGCGAGTCAATCTTTCTCGGGTTTTGAACAACCTACGAAGTATGACGGAAGCCAATAGCTTGGACGCAATCGGAAGTAACTTATCCCCCGATAGTTGTTACAGGAACGACGTGAACCCTTTTTAAAGATAGGGACAACTATCGACTCATTCCATGACGTTGGTACACTCTCTAGTTCCCAAACCTTTGTAAACAACGTCGTCAATTCCTTAGTCAAAAAGTCACCACCATCTTTAAAAAGAGCCGGAGGTAAGTCATCTGGGCCAGGTGATTTGTAACGCTTCAAGAGTTGGAGTTCCTTGCGGACTTCCTCCTCGTTTGGTGGATCAGTCGTCACCGGCCATGGAGGGCAGGACAGTCTGACCGATGTTGCCGGAGCAGCAGGCCAGTTGAACTGCCCTTCGAAAAATTCTGCCCATCGTCCAAGACGTCGATGGATGTTAGTGATTGGCATCCCATCATCCTCGCAGATTGTTTCACTCACACCAGACTTCTTGCTGCCAGTGGCTCGGATGAGCTGGAAGAGCTTCCGGTAGTTACCAGATGCAGCTGCTGCTTCCAGCTCATTAGCACGCATCGACCACCAGGCTTCTCGGTCCTTACGCAAGCTTTGCCCAATTTCCTTACGTAACATCCTTCGTTTATGGTCAAACTCACGGTCACCCGGAGTAGACCGACGGGCTTCAATGAGTTGTAAGGAACCAGAAGAAACCCAGTGCTTAAAAGCGGGACGTTTCGCAAACCCACAACTGACTGTTCCCGCCATTTTCATGGCGTCATGCAATTGCAACCAATGCTCATCTATACTTTTCGGTGGAGTGGTAGCTAGCCTAGAGGCTAGCTCGGTTCGATACTTACTTGCAACAGAAGTTGCAACCAGCTTGCTAACATCAATCCGTTGATGGCGGTCACTTCGTTGTCCACTGAAAAGTAAGGCAAGATTGGCGCAGACCAAGGCATGGTCAGAGTCCAGATAGGTACTCCAAAAGGAGCGGCAGTCTTGTACACAACCACGCCAGCGGTAGCTGATCGCGATGTGATCAATCTGAGTCCAGGCTTGAGATGCAGAGGGAGGACGCCAGGTGGCACATCGGCGATGACTGTGCCGAAAGTTAGTGCTAGCCAGAAACAGGTTGTGGTCTGTGCAAAGTTGCAGTAGACGGTCCCCGTTATCTGACCTGCGACCAACGAGTCCCCATCGGCCACCTAAACGACTCTCTTCTGTGCCTAGACGCCCGACCTGAGCATTCAAGTCTCCGGCTAGTACTACACTATCTGGAGAAGAACAGATAACTGGTGGTAAAACTCATCCTTGATTGCATCCGGGCTGCAATCTGTCGGGGCATAGGCGGAGATGACGAAAAGACATCGTTTCTCACGCCGATTTCTTCTCACTTTGATGGAACTTTCTAATCTAACAGCACATAACCGACTGTTAATGGGGATCCAATCGACTAGTGCTGCCTCAGCTCTAGCGCTTAGTGCGACACCAACGCCAGCAAGACCAGACGAAGATGCCACAGGGTCCCCGGATAAGCGCACGTAAAACAAGCTTTTCGAAGCGACAGATGGAGATCGAATTTGTAGTACTTCGCCAGAGTCTTGAATACGGGTCTCGGATAGACAACAAACATCGATATTAAGACTTTCCAAAGACATAGCCAGCCCTATCTGTTGTCCGACCTGCATAAATGTGCGAACGTTGAAGGCAGCCAGTTTGAATGGTGCACGTGGTTTCAGAAAACTGCTTCAGTCCTCGTATTCGGTGGTAACATACAATTTTCAACCGGACAGTGACTCGAGAACGTTTAGATACAGTCGAATTTCCACCAAAGACGAGCCGCTGTATAAGTATAAAAGAGGGTGAATAATGTGGAAAATAATAATAATAATAATAATAATAATAATAATAATGACAATAATAGTAATAATAATAATGTATTAATAATGACAATAATTGTAATGATAATAATTTGAATCAATTGATTGTTTTTCAAAGCGAGAAAAGTAATTTCCATAGGCATAAAGAGTTCATCATTTGTGTGTGGGCTGTGATACTGCCCGGGTGCCCAAACCGAAGCAGGTGGTTATCTTAGGGGGCCACACCCCGAGCCTTTGACCTAAAGGTCTAACCCACAAGGCAGTGGAGCATCGTAAGGAGATGCAGTCCCATGGTAGCCGGTGACCAACGATTGGTTCATACGCCATTTGTTCCCGCAGGATACTGGAGCCCATGTGCACCATTGGTTTGGAATCCGGTTAAAGCGCCGGACATTCGCTTTTCGTCCTCTCATTTTCGTAAACAACACCCCGCCACGAGAAGGCAATGAGTAGGACTTCCCTGGCAGAGGCTATATATGCGCGGCCGTGTGAGAGTATTTCGAGAGGGAGAGCGGACTCTCCTCACTCTCGGTCGTACCAGGGCATTCGGGGGCCATAAAGGAAATGATTAACACTGATTACAAACTAATAACGTGTCATTATTTTTTACTGGATAACGTTTGTGAAGTTTTTTCTTACCTGACTTAAATAGAATAACTTCTTTCTATGTTTATACGATTGCCGAAATGAGTGTGTAACCAATCGAACGTTGGTATTTATAATGGATTTATTAAATGTTTTATGGCCCGAGGATTATTATTTTTTGAATTATATCTGTTCCAATTAACCTTATATAGACCATAGAACAAAAAGTTATTTGCCACTGGCTAACCAAATGGTTTTTTCAGTTTTGTTACCACTTTTGACCTTATTGACTTTCGTATGCTACTTGATGGACAAGAATTTATGAAGTACGTAAAAATGCCCAGTCATATGGTTTAACATAACCTAGCTTCTATCTCAATCTCTTTATCGTCGTGTCAAAGAGTGCGTCGTCCATACAGTGTGTTTCTAATTAGTCAGTCGATCAAGAATAAATCGTATTTGTCAGACTATAACGTAGACTTAATTGAAATCCAATATCACGCTCTAGCAGCGCAATGAATAGAAATACTTACTTACATTGTACCTAAGATGCATTAATTGTTTTCTTGTTTAACTCATTTTAAAAGAGAATGTCAACTTACTGAAATTTATTTGATACCTTTTTATTTTTCTTAAAATTGTTGTTTAACGTACGCTTTTTCACTGAGATTTAGCTACATTCGAAACTAATCAGTCAGATGGTTGTTAGAGATGCAGCTAATTTGAGAGTAAATGTTGTAACTTGAGAATCCCTGTCACAAATATCGACTTGGGAGTATTATAAGTCACATGACTACAGACACTTGTCTGTTTGTTTGCTTAAGGACTAGATATCGAAAAGGAGAAGTGCGTCGATATAAAGTAGGATAAAATTCTTTACGATTCGGAACTAGTCAATCTTGTGCAGTCCATAAATTGTATCCCTTTTTCCTTTCAGTGGCCAATCAGTCTGTATTATCTAGATAAATCAGTAAATTTTGTTTTTGATAGATTCGACATTATGTAGAAACAGCTGTCGTATACCATTTTGTTTTCAGTAGCTCTCTAGCAAATGTTGATCCGTGAACTATTTTCGTGTCTTTCCATGTAGTGATGTATTGTAAATGTTTCATTATTTGAAGTGGTATTTGCTTTTATTTTTATTCAGGATAGTATCCCAGGCGCTGGACCTATTGTTGTACACTGTAGTGCAGGTATTGGACGTACTGGAGCATTTATTGTAATCGATATGCTCATAAATTACATCAAAACAATGGGCCTTAATTGTGACATAGATATTTCCCGTACAATCCAAGCAGTTCGTGAACAACGTTCTGGGATGGTGCAAACTGAAACTCAGTATAGATTCATTTATAAAGCTGTTCAGCAATATGTAAATACAATGTCCAAGCGTATACAAATGGATAATGTGAGTTTTTTCATTTTCAATTAAAAATCGAAACATGTTAATACCATAGTTTACATACAGTGATCATTTCCCTATGACAGTATGGATGAATATCCATGCACTCACTGTCAACTGTCTCACATATTTCTAAGATTTTTTGAAAATTTACTACTTCTAATTATTCATTTTATTAAATAAACTAAAAAAATATTTCCGCTATTTGATGAACACAGAAAAAACGTCTGTTATTATATTCCAGCACTAACTTTTCAGATAATTAAAACAACCCATTGCTTCATTGAATAAAAATAAACGGAATTCAGCGAAGAAAATTTTCTTTTCGACGAAATCATTTACTTAAGCTGCAACTTATATTCGTCCTTGTATTCTTCTCTTACTACTTGATTATTGCGTAATGTGATTTGATAATAAGAGTCTCTAATCCCTTTATGACGCAATCTTTTCTATCATTCTATGGACATATACCTACCACACAACTATAAATACGAATGTACAGCTTAATTAAATGATTTTGTCGAAAAAATTCTTCTCACTGAATACTCTTTGTTTTTATTCACTGGATTGCCAGTTTTATTTCTTAGTGAAAACCAATTTATTAATAATAAACGCTGTCTTAAAAACCTTGTGATTATAAATATCTGTTACTTTGATTTCGAATTGCTCATAGGATCTTCGCCGTACTGGAAGAGACTACACTAATATCAATCGTGCTGCTGATGATATTGGTGTAATTGGAACATCAGCTGTCAATATATTTCCAACGGTTTGTTCATCATTGGGTCTCAACTCCCATGAACAACAAAGTGTGACATCAAACTTTATTCCTGGAGCAAGTATCAACACACCTTCAGTTACTGGATCTTCTGTGCCTGCTTCAAACAAGCAATGCAATTGTCCTATTCACTCTTGTTCTCAGCGACAATCAACATCAAACCATAATATATCTCAAGCTTCCGCTTATCCCACCAACTGTTCACAAACTGCTGTTTCATGCACAACATTGCCCTGCACTGCTCCAGTTGTGTCCGTTTCGCCTCGCAATGCGGATTCTGTAACTGGGGGTTTCTTCCATCGACTGACTGCACCAAGTCGTCCCCGTACGAAGTCATGACACCTTTTGAAGACATTTTATCCGATTAATTTAATGTGAGTTTTTGTCGGAATTTCATCAGGAAATATAATATTTATTTATTTTATATTGTGAAATGTATGAAACCATAAACTTTTAAAGAACTATCATTTCAACTGCCACACCACATGTTGTTAATAGTGTATTTATGTTCATTTAGTGTCCCGCGATCTGATTCCATATGATCGAGTAATATTGATTCTAATGAAATTTATATCTTTTTTTATATATATTGAGTCGACGTATCCTGTCGATAACAACATGGATATGAGAAGTCCATTACAAAGGTATTTGAGGAACATATATTCCAAGCATAATTTAGACAAGCGATAAGAGACGAGAAGAAATACACGTGAACTGAAGTGGGAAAAATAACCAGCTCTGTGAGTACTAGGTGACCTAGTCTTCGTGAACATGAACTCAACATAAATATACAGATATATACACACTACCATACACACGCACAAAACATGTTCAAGGTTAAATGTGAGTAATTGACCAGGTCTGACGAATAAAAAGATAAGAATGATTTATCTGCCCAAAAGTTGTAAAAAAATCACGTAAGCGTGTAATAACATCGAATTGCTACAATCAATTTCTGGACATAACTCGTCTCGTCCTAATCTTTCAAGGGTTGACCTCCAAACAAAAGACTGTCATTAACGTAGAGTAAAAAGTGTACATATTTCTTAACGATGAGAAGGTGTCAATGAAGTGAAATTTTCTGAACGCTTCGAGTTATAACGAAAGGATTGTCTTTCTTATGTATTCCACCACAGCTCCATTTCTCCTCATCATAGTTACGTCTACTTTATGAGCCTCATCTGCTCAACATATCGGAATGGATGTTTGAATTGATTTTATTGAAAATATATTAAAGCTGTCTAATAAATAGATGACATATATTTGCAGAAACTTTCGATTCAAGCTATTAATTTTGCACATAAATTGTAAATCTTTGGGACTTGAGAAGTATTAGGAGTAGTTGATTTTATATATTAACCGTATTTTGTTTTCTAAAGAATTTATCAAACTTCACTTAAACTCTTGTCGTCCCTAGTTATCATTTGCAAATCAATAAATATTACAAGAGTTTCTTCCCATTTCCTAATCTAAAGATATGTCAAGATATTGTATGTATTGCTTTAACTATTCATGGGATTATATATATATATATATATTTGTGCAAACAAATTTTGTTGTATAATACCCAACGTTTTGTTTGCACTGTCTACTTTTACTATTTTATTCTCTGTTACTGTAGGTAAAGAAGCATTAGTGATATCTGAAATGTATGTAATTGTACTCATTTATTACATGTATGACTTTAAACAGATTTTGTTTATTTAGAAATCATCATAAAAAATCATTGGTTTTTTTTCCTTTATCACCGAATTATCAGTAGTAATCTTATTTGACTAATAAACCATTGAAATCTATATTTTGTTAAAATGCTGTATACAATGATAGTATGAATATGTAAATGGTATTATCAGTACTGAGTTGTTTAATTTTTGTTATTATTTACCAATTATGTTAGTTTGGTTTTTAATTCTAATAATGCTCCAAATGTTTGTTGAAATGAAAAATTATCTCTTATTATATACTTGCACAAATACTGTTTTCATTCAATGAAATAAATTTTATTATTATTTTTTTGACTTATCTTTTTTTCTTCTTTTGAATAACAATTTTTGTGTAAAACTCTAAGTAAAACGTTGATAATTTACCTTTAAACGATACAGTTTACAATTTACTAAAATAATGTAAATTCTCTCTTTTACTCTTGGTATATAAAAAGTGTTTTAATCGTTCCTAGATTTAATTCCTTTTAAATAAAGTTTTTTAAAAAAAAATGAAATTCGACTGTTTTTTTTTTGAAAATTTATTTACATTTTTCACTTTATCATTCACGGGAAGGAATCCATTCATAATGTTTGTATCAGATTACACAGTTCTCGTATTAATGTTTTTTTGGATAATGCGATAATTATGTTTTACTTGTATTCTTATTATTTTTACTGTGTGAAATTATTGTTCACTCGATTTAAAAGAAAATTAAATTTACAATTTATAATGCAAGTGTTTTTATTTAGTAAAACGGGTCGGCAGCTCCTGCAATTTTTAATAAAAAAAGTTTCTTTTTAGTGATTATATGAGTTAACAATGATGTTTATCTTATCTGTTCAAAGATTGTGTCTCAAATCAGAAAATCAGTTGTTGCACAGCGTATATAATATTATGTCATAGTGAGAGTGGCATCTCGTTTGGGGTAGGAGTCGGAGGGTTAGCAATTACCAAAGGAGATTTCATAGCATCATCAAGGCCCCCAAATGGCCTGGTACAGCCGAGAGTGGGGAGGGCCCGCCTTTCCTCTTGAAATGCTCTCACACGGCCACGCGTATACAGCCTATGCCAGGGAAGTTCTACTCACTACCTTCTTGTGACGGGGGTGTTGTTCACGAAAATGAGAGGACGAAAAGCGAATGTCCGGCGCTTTAACTGGATTCCAAAACAATGGTGCACATGGGCTCCAGTACCCTGAGGGAATAAATGGCGTATGAACTAATTGTTGGTCACCAGCTACCATGGGACTGTATCTCCTCACAATGCTCCACTGCCTTGTGGTTCAGACCTTTAGGTCAAAGGCTCGGGGAGTGGCCCCCAAAAAATCATCTGCTTCGGTTTGGGTACCCGAGCAGTATCACAGCCCGCACACAAATAAAATGAAAATGACGATATTTACTGAAAATTCGATTAAGTCAAACAAGTTACATTATTATTTTTATTTATCACGTCACTTATCCCCACTTTGGAAAGTGTGGCGCATATATATTTGGTGCCCCCTTGTACCAATATTTATGTGTTCAAATAAATAAATACAAGACGTTCTTGAAAGCAGGCGATAAAACACATGCATAGACTGTTTGATGTAAAGAGACAACTCACTGATCCGAAGACTACGATTTTACTTAGCCACATATAAAAAATAAACAATAAATCCCGGTTGATGTCACAGAGTGCAACAGTTGGAACAACTGAATCTCACTTCAAAATGAAAGAAACAGACTGACAAATCATCAAGCAAGCGACTATTTTTAGATGACTGAAGTCCATAGCGTGGTCTCATTTGTGCCCATCTAACTTACGTTAAACTGATTGACATGTACCTAATGTGATGATGATTTGTGCAGTTTGATTGGTTTCAAAGCAGTGACGAATGGGAGGTAACATAAGTAAGAGTGTGGTGAATCAAGCTGGAGTAAGTAGATTGACGACTAGTGCACATCGATACTTCAACGATGACGACGGTAGACGAATAAGAGAGAATACGGAAATTTCCAAGTGAGATTTTATGTCTTTCAACGTTAAGATTTACAAATGATTTTTGATTAGTCTCTCTTTAGTACCAAAGTCACTTGACTATTCGGCTGAAACTGTTATCGTTTCTTATTGTGCAAAATGATTAGTCAACTAGTCAAAGATCATTACTACATATCCGCTTCCTGTGTTATTTTCATTATCTATAACATAAGATTTAAATATTACTGTTCAGTAATGGCTTTCTACACTGTTGTTGTTTTCTGTTCAGAAACTTACATAACTTAGATACATTGCAAACCATGTCAGCTGACAATACACTAAAATACTAACAATGCTGCTCCAAGTATTTATCTGGAATGAAAGCAATGTTCATACATGTTATCGTAGTTGAACTCAAGTACTTTTTTGTTTCATGTCCAAATAAGTATTTAGAAAGTGACATAGGACATTAATCGTATCTTGCTATTGACAACATCCGTTAACCATCTCTCGGAAAATCTGCTCTTTCCTGGACTATGAGACAAATATATCAAAAAAGTAAAACAGAAAATAAAGTTTGAAAACAGCAGTGTTGTAAATATACGGATATAAATAAGTTCTCATTGTAAACGAAGGATAGTGGATGTTTCCATGCTCGTTAGGAGCCAGATATGTACAATATTTTGAAATTAAAGCCCTCTTCACCAAATGGTAAACTCAGAATGGAAATAAATGCTTTTTCCAAATCCTAGGACAATTACTTGTCAAATTCGTGCTAGTAACTTATAGGGCATATCTGAAGTATTTGTTAGCGAAGGAATTTTACTTCAAAGGAAAATTAAGTTAGCAACATGTAGAGAGCTTTATAACAATATAAGTTAATCACTCTCCCAGTATCTAGAGTTTCCTTAAGAATCTACACATTAGTGTAATCATGTTAGGTATTTTTATTAATTAGAAACAGACTTATAGGATGTGTTTCGATTATGGTCAGTGTTATGATGTTGGTCAATATGGTATATATATATTTATTTATTGATGCTACTAAAGTATTACCAGTCTTCAGCTAAAATACTAGTGGTATTTAACGTCAGTGAAAAACAAGTTATTCTCCCTTGTTTACTGATATGATATTAAATAATGTGAAAAGTCAAAAATTTCCAATAGAAATTATCATCTTTTCGTCATACCCTATGTTGTTTGATTTTAGTTAATTATTTATTATTTCAATGGTTAAGATCATGAGTCAGTTGAAGCTAGACCACCATGGGAAACCTGGAAGCACTGAACGGCGGTTTCGTCCTATTATTAAAATAATATCCATTGAATTAGCAAGATTAACTTACATTTGTATTGAGCGGAATGTTTCGACTTGATAATAGACAAGTATAGCTGAATTCTGTAAATTTTTTAAACAAATTGATTTTAAAATGAAAAGAATTATAAGTTTAATTATAAACATGTCAAATTATGTCTGGGATAATTTTTCCTGTAAAACTCACTATCAACTACAAATTAGAACGAAATGCTACTGAAGCTTGATTCTTCTACATTTTGACCAGATAATTAAATACACTTACGTGAATTTACTTGTGAACTGTGTTGGTGATGTATACTAAGTATTCCATTGGAAAGACCTGAAGGTTGTAGGTTTGATTCTTCTTTAGGTCATAGTTCCCTAGCATTGAGAAGGCCCACACTAGGACGAAGTAACTGTGCAGTAGTAGCTGGTTTTCATTGATTTTCTAACCAAAGTCAGTCCGCAATAAAAGAACTTCGAAAACAATCTTGTTGGGTTTAATTAATTCTTTAATAATGAGAGTTTACTATTTTTACAGACTGGTCAATTATTCATGTCCAACGTGGAATCTCGTATATGCTTCATTACAAGTTGCCACACTACAACACACCAAGATATCAGTGTAGTGTAAGTAGCAACAGTGATAGAGTTCATAGAAAAGCTTGAGTATAGAAGATACGGTTCATACGGTAAATGTGGTCTTTTGGAATAGAGAATAAAGTGAGGCAATTTGGAAAACAAAGTGTGAGTGTACCTTTACAGCTCAGAGATATTTCATCCAACTTTTAACCGTTTGTTACGATAAACGAGCCAACCTCAACTAAGTATATTTAAACTACCAAAAAGATCAGTTAAACGTTGGTGACATGAAGATATTCTTTTCCGTTGTTACTTTTGATTAACTTATGAATCAACTCAATCTTTTTCACAACGTACTTATTAGTATACGTAATATGATTCAGATTATACTGTTTGAATTACTAACTGTTAATCTTACATAGAGTTATACTCATAATTTATGCTTATAAGAGACAAATAATCAGAAAATGAGGTTTCATGATATCATAGTTTTTTGATAGTATCTGGAGTTCTGGATGATAATTATAACTTCTCAGTACCTAATCAAAAGCATAGCTACTTCAGGTGTACAGTCAACATTTTGAAGTCAGCTTTTGATCCTGTTGTTCTCAGTTAATATTATACACGGAAGTGATTGCAAAATATAACGGTTTCATAAAACATCACGTATATTGGTTTCTGTACAAATATCAGTTTTAAGTTGTTTATTTTTTTCAACTACTAGAATAAGATAAACTTAATTTTTGTCATCAATAGGTAGGTGAGTATTATAAACGAAGATATAAATTCATTGTATTGAGTGTTAACAATAACTAATGTCTTTTTTTAAAAATGACAGAACATTTAAACTCATAAAAACGTTTAGAAGTAACAAATCATTATGGCATAAAAACCATCCAATCTCACAGATGGGTTTGTTATATCATTCTTGACATAATTAAACTCTAAATTAACTTATTTTGAAAAAAAATTTAGGAGCGTTTTCAACTTTTTCTCACTGTCTTAGTGTGGGAAATATTGAGGAAACAGGTACGTTTATCTAGAAATAAAATAAACTATTAAAATATTATTTGGGAATCCGGAAGTGTTTTACTCCACATGAATATTCATAATGTTCAACATTTACGTCATATATATATATATATATATATATATATATATATATACTCATCTGTTTACCTTTGGCTTTATCCGAGATATTCGTAGCGTGAAGTAAACCGATACCGTAGATTTTGGTATGGGTGAACGCCTAGATGGTAGACTAAATTTCACTCGATATTTATGAAGCGTTTCATTCTTGAGTTCCATGATTGGCAAAATATCAACGCAGTAAAGCCACTTATCACTTATTTCCCAACACTGAAAGTACAAATGCGAACAATTGTTTAGAAAGTTGCAATTTTTGTATGATTCAGGTTTGCTTATAACAAAATAGACAGGTGTTCTAGAGACATTTTGACCATTTAAGACTGCAATCTTATAAGCGGTGTTTCTCAAAGCTAGTTTGTTTCATAACTGAAACCATCAGCTTATAACTATCATGGTACTTCGCACTTTGTAAAATGGAACCAGGCAATTGTAATAGAAATTCAGCCTCAGTCACGATATATCCCCTTCATTAAATAATGTAGTGTCCAGTCATTATTGGAGTACTTTACTCCAAACGCAAATGTATATGACAATCTAAGACTTTTTAACTTACCCTTTATCAAGGTTGGATTCGAAAAAGAAACATGAATATATGATACATCATTGCAGTAGTTCTAATAATTGGTCCTCATTAACTAACATAATAACACTCTTGATTGCATATATGATTTTGCAGATAGTAAAATCATATGCACATCCTTTGTTTCAAAATGTTTCAATTAATAAATAATATATAGTCAATTT